TGCGAGTTGCAGTCTGTCTTCACCGAGTTCAAAACGATGGTACACGTCAGACGTTGCATGCGATACAGAGCTGGGAGAAGGAGTGAACGCGGACATCGAATCTTCTGTCGTCTGTGCTTTGCAAGCTACGTACTTGAGGGCATCTTGATGATAGATAGGAGTATGGTCTGCTTCAGTAACGTTCAGATTCATACTCGGCTGATTTTGTGCGGCCCACCTGCGGGGGTAATGTGACCAGGTGGTGGCAGCAGATGCTGATTATGTAAGCTCCGGCTGCTTACCCAATATTCTTCCTGGGGAAACAACCTCACCAGCAGCCTGGACAAATTTGGAAAACCGCATCAAACCGACAGAGGGTACGCCAACCCATGTTCCTGAAGGCGATCTATGGGCGAAACATCATCTTCGCCGTTGATTACTCGAGCGAGATTGCAAACGCAAACTTCGAGAGCAAGTCGCCGAGTCAGGCGTGTCGAGAGACAACCACTACCGTAGGCAGCAACGAATCATTACACAAAGCACGATACATGCGTCAAAACAGAGACCACCCTGCCAGCCCCCGATAGGCTCTGGGTCGTCAACTATAGCCGACCAGTTGGCGACATTCCATGACAACGACGATAACGATGATGACGACGACGTCCGCGAGCCTGGCAGAACGGTACGGCTTTCTGCACAAGAGAGCATCAGACAGTTGGCATGCTGTGCATGGACGATGATCAGAGCAATATGGTGGACGGCCGTGGCGGTCATCACATGAAGACGAAAATCCAGAGAGGAATTTGGCAGGAGGCAACGATGTCCCGCTGGTTCATGGAAGAAATACTTCGCCCGAGCCGAGAGGATGCAGACATCTTGAACAGACGAAGCGGGGCACCGAATCAAGGCTGTAGGCATGCACAGCTAGCCTTGGTGGCAAGCACTGGCGGCCGCCGAAGCAGAAGTTCGTGACAGATGGATTCGGGAGGCATTGCAATGGAGAGGGGAAAATGCAACAGGATGATACCTACTCTTCAACAGATGGCACAGATGATTGGATGTAAAGTGCAGCGAGGAGTTTCGTGAATAGCTGACCCTGACTTCAATGAAGGGCGAGGCGAGGCGTGGCAGTCTACCGTGACGCATCGACTGCTCGCTAACCATATTTCCCAGATAGCTACTTATACAAGTGTAGCTGATGACGGTGTAGGATCAATTACCCAAACCCAAAGCGGATTATCAGAATAGATCATCGATCAAAACCTCGCCCAACCTCATCCATGTTGAAAGAATCGCTCCAAATCAGGTTTCATCATCTCAATTGAATACACTGGGGCAAGGACATTAAGTAGGGTCAGAGGAAAGGTCAGCAAGAAGAAAAACACAAGTACAACTGGTGAAAGAAGACATGCCACGTGCTATTGCGTCGAGCATCATATCTGTGCCCAAACCATCATCATTGAGACAAGTACGATCGAAAGGCTACCAATTGCCTGTTAACTTCGACGACGCTTATGTTCCACAACAAGCAACACACCTCGCAGGACGTGTCGTTCTCTGAACCAAGAAAACACTAGACTCATTTCTTCCACCATACCACGAATTATACATAATTTGGTTCATTAAACATCCCCTTCGGAAAAGGAATTGCTGTCCCCTTAACGCAGAGCAATATCTGCTGAAACCTAAGCTCTAACAAGAATTGATGACTTAGTAATAGAACGTGCCGAAATCGGTCAAGCTTGACGAAACTCACTGATCTTCGAAACCTGAAATCGACATGTTCAGAATCGAACTGTCTCCCTCACGCTACCAATTTCGGTCATGGATGTAGTTTCCTGTGGAGTAGCGGGCGGAGGAGAAGAGGGAGAAGGAGGAGGCGGCGGAGGTAGGGGCTCGCGAAAGTTTGGGTTGTTTGGCATTGCGAAAGATTGACAGGTATTGTGCGGGTAATGATAGAGAGTGCTAAAACTCGACATCCAGTGAGGCGTCGATATATTGTTCAAGTCTGGACACACCAGATCAATGAATTATGTCTTGTACGAGAGGAAGGAGCGCATTTTATATGTGATGTTCCGATACGAAGTCTAGCCTCTTGCTCATCAGATACATAGTATTAACATCAGTCCCCTTGACTGTTCCATACAGTCTCCAATGCAATGGTTTGTCTTGCGGCCGCATGCCCTCTGACATGCCTTCTGACTGGTCGAAAGATTGTCTAGAGCACAACTTTGGGAAAACGTAGCAACATTCAGGTGGGTTCACCTCACAAACGACATACCCACGTCTCCGTGCATGGTATGGCGGCATGTGTAGAGATAGGGCTAGGAAACAGAAGCGAGGCCTGCACATAGGAAGCTGGCAATGTGTGAGTACTAAGGCACAGCCTGTCTCGATGGTTTGACGATACTGCGTTGGGATGGCCTCGCATACGGCCACTTTGAATCCTTGCTGGACCCGGGACTTCAACGCTCTCAAATATCGATTCGACCCTGTCAAAATCACGCCAATCATCGGCGAGCTCGACAAACAGAACCTCGTTGGCATTATAGACCCTCCATATACCATCACAAGGCTATGAAACTGCCAAAAACACCTGTGGTTCTTCACCTATCAAACATCCATTGGGGATACTTATTCGAACTTGTACGCTTTCGGGTCCTGCGGACTTCGCAGGAACGTCAACAACACCACAAGCGTGAGGCTGGCCGCATATCAAGCTTGAGGTGCCTTCTTCTACTGTGGCCAAGCCATTAAGGGCTTGTCAAGTTCGATATCTGACCCAGCCTTCAGCGCGTGTAGGTAACAACGGAAATTGAGCCGAAGCTCATGCTGAGAACGATGGTCTGAATCCTGCACAAGCCATACCGAATGGTCACAATCAAGACTGCACGATGAATGAGGGAAATTTGATCACCATCGCATCCTTGTAATGCGGCCGTTTATGTAGCCTACGATGTGTTTTCCCGTGGCTCTCGACAAGTTGATCGACGCATGTTGGATACGCTGATGGCGTGGCCGGCGTGCTTGCCAAAGCTGATTGTGACCATCCCGAAGTTGCATCGCATATTCATCTCACTGTATAACGATGGAATATCAAGACGGACTCAGTGTCATTCAATCATATACAGCAAACAGGAACCGTTCCGGTCTCCGTGTTCTACAATAATCATAACCGTCATTTTTGTGTGAGGACCTCTCTAGAACGCAGCGACGAGTACAAATCTTTCCTACTCAGCTGGTACAGCAATGTCAACGACATCTAGGCGTGCTTCTATCATCCCTTCCCTCGCCCGTCTTTGGCATCTACAAGATATGAGCAAAGTCTCCCTTGTAGACAATTCAACCCCAGGCGAAATGTAATGGAGCTGCCTGGGCCATAAAGAGGAGCCTTGCCAAGTAGGAGGGTGGTCATTGTAGCCTGAGAAAATGGTCAGACGGTCGTGTTGTTCCGGTAGCTTATACGGCAGAGCTTCTGCAACAAATTCTTAACTCGAATAGGTGTCTCAAGCGCCCGTTGTACTCGTTTGAGCAAAGCCCCGCGCCGAAAACCCTGATCTGCGTGGGCAGCCACAGGAACAGATGGAAGCAAAACTCAGAGCGAAATCTCTCTCTAGAGCAATCAGAGAGATGGGACAATGCTCCATCACAGGGGAGGGAGCCAAATCTCAGGATTTAGCTTGACGCCAGACGAAGATCATCCTCGATTCCGGTTAGTGACTACTGGAAGTGACTAGGACACACGTTGAATGCGCAGCGTGTTTTGTCACCAAACAAGGGGCAATAAGAACAAAGCGGGGCTTACTTGCCATTGCAGCCACCTTCTTTCTCCAACAGAAACTTGATGCCAGCAGTTGGACTCTCGATTTTCTCATACACTGTACAAGGTTCAACCGTTGCAGGGACGTTGCATGCCTCTACAGTTGTGCGCAAACATCGCAGAAATCTGCCTGATTATGGCGCGAAATGCATTTGGCTTGGCCGTCTACTTTGCGCAGAAGAGACCTGGCGGCAGCCGACCCCACACCTGTGCGCAAAGGTTAGCGAGGTCCTAGTGAACAGGGGGTGAGTTGCATAAGTCTACAACTCTGCGCAAAAGAGACCTGTCAACAGCTGACCCCACACCTGTGCGCAAAGATCAACTCTGCGCAGTCCACAACTCTGCGCAGAAGAGACCTGGCGGCAATCAACCCCACACCTGTGCGCAAAGGTCAGCGAGGTCCTGCTAGTGGACCGGGGTTGACTTGTCTGCGTCCGCTCCATGATTGGAAGCACGGAGTGTGCTGTTGACTTATGGCCATGTGACTACAGGTGGCGATCAACTTGCCTGGGTAATTCATCTGAAGTCTAAGGGGCAGAGTGGAGCTACTTGGGAAATCGGCTGGATGCCCCAGCCACATACGTGGCAATTTGAGTTGTTAACATGGCGCAGCTTACGGAGACGTTTGAATGTTTGTCCGTTCTGCTACGCATATGTTCTTCGAGAGGGGTAAGTCACGAATAAGTGGGACAGATCATTCTCGTCACCCTCAGGCCAATTCTCATGTGGCAGCAAACGCGAAAGCGCCCAACGATCATTTGGTTGCTGCCCGTCAGTAGGGCAGCAACTGGTCCTTAGCTGTCAGTTCCTCACGTATTCTACACTTCACACGAACCGGAGTACTTCACAAGAACCGGAAATTCACGCTGAGTGTTGGATGAAACCAGTCTCCCACCACAAAATTCCCCGTCGCACCACATTCCAGCTGATGGCAGTAGGTTTACCAGATATCTTCAACTTTCGATACTAACTACTACCGAGGATGCAACAATCGACCCGAGCTCCGAGCTCAAGGAAGAGGACTGGGAACGAGCAAAGGAAGCCGGTCCGAAAGCATACAACAATCAAGAAACCCTTTTATGGAAATCGTGCACAGCTCTGTACAAAACGTCTGTCAAGGATGAGAAATGGGTAGCTATGCGGGAGACCGGACAAATTTCGCTACCACGAGAAGCCATAGCGTACGTTAGTGGAGGTAATATCAAGTTGCTGTAGCTGGTAATTCGGCGTTTGGAGTTGACCATAGATCAACATGAATTCTGGATAATGCAAGCGCATCCATTTGAATGGTCAAATGACAGCTGCTTGCGGCAGATTCTCCAACCATCATGGATAGGCAATCCGAGAACATTTTCCCCTCCATAAGCTCTTTTTCACGTTGTTGGCTATTTTGAATTCCTGAATATATTCTATCCCCCATCATCTGTTTTACGGCACGAGTATCGACCCTTTTCAGACGAGTGTGGCCAATGATTTCGATGATTGGGCCATGTTCCATGACGATCGTTCGCTTGTTATCCTCTTCCCTAATGTGGACGCGGAACAGCTTCTCGGCAATGCGCGCTGCTTCTCGTGCCATGATTTCGATCACCATGTGGCTGAGTTTCGGATCGGAAGGGAAGAATAGCCGTATGGACGCCTTACTACCTGTCTTCAATATCGCATCACATAGGTAATGTGAGAACATGAAGGGTAGGTTTCGAGCTTCGGGGCTCTCATAATCAGGTCTGGCCGGATTACCGCTTTGTGAAAGGTTTGTCACATCTTGGCCAGCCTCGAACGGCATCGGAACAGCAGATAAGGCGCTGAAGTTTTCGCTCTCAACTGTGCTGAGTTGTATAGGGGTCGTTCGCTGCGGCGAGCAGTGCCGGAGGCGCTTCGAGGTCGAGGCGTTAACGTCGGTTATGCAACCACGGGTTGCTCGTAGTCGCTCTGCCAACGTCAGTCTGAAGTTATAGAATCAATGTGGGACTACGCACTTTGGCGATCGCCGGCTCGATACGATGCCTCAAGTACGTGCCGCCGGAGTGCAATGATCGTGGGATGCTCGTGAATGTTCCTTATTTGCGCGACAACCAGCAACAGCTCTTCGTCCGGTAATTCGTCTAGCTTTTCAGCAATCGGGATGTGTTCCAGGGTGACGAGCTGGTACAGAAACCACTCCCTATCGCCAGCTTGAAGAAACGCCCGGGAAACGCGGTCGCGCTGATCCAAGGTTGCGTCGAAATACCTCGGTGCTCGCGTCGAGTGGTGTTTCTTCGTAAGGCAGGATTGAAACACATTTATGATATCGTCAAGCTCCTTGGTCAGCATCCGGAATGCGGAAAAACACAGGTCCAAAGGTCCTTCGGCTCCATTAGGTGTTTGTAGGATGAACAACAGATCGCTACAACCTGGGTACGTGAGGTTGAGTACGGGTTTGGGCCTGAGCTTTTAGGTTGGAATCGCTGACGTAAGAGGGTTGTGGTACTCACGTCCTCGTACATTAGGACCCTTGAAGTCCCTTTGGAAAGATGGACAGCGTTTAAAGCGACGTATGGTGTAATGGGGAACCTGGCGCTTGACAAACTCACGTCTATCGCAGTACCGACATTGCTGTGAATATTCTGGTGCGGTTACGGTATTGTGCGACCCGGTATTGGTGAGCCTTATATTTTTGATCCCACGGCTCGGAGGTCTTGGCGTACCCTCATCAATCATGCTCCAGCGTCAGGTGCAGAACGGCAACGCGGCAGTGAATGGTGCGTCTCACTGGCTTTTTCTGTTGTGGTCCATAAGATGAAGCCACCTGTTCTGGTTGCATTAGTTGGTATTTAGGATCATTCGTGTTGATGTTGAACATCCTTGTCATCAAGATCATCACGTGGTGGACCTGATTAACCAGGTGCGATCATTCAGCCGCAACCCAATCATCTTCTATTGTCCTTGACCTTCATGACGAGGTGAATAAGGCCTGCAAAATATGTTCACCGTGTAGATTATCAGTTCCCTTTCCTTGTCAGTTTAACGAATGTACAAGATCTGCAAACTTGGTCTAGTCGGCTTGTCGTCAGTCGGTTCGCGTGGATGACCTAGCTACCGCATCCCGTACTGGAGCACTTCCTGTAGCAAATCGTAAGAGTCTGTAGGTATCTCGGCTCATTCATGGGAGGAAGCTGTTGGTAATCCTGGAATCTGTCTGAGTCCGAACAAGGAGTGTGTCCACGCCATTATCTAATCGTCCTATCAAGCACTTTTCTGACTCTACTGGCACGGTAGCGTACAGCCGGACCTCTAGTACAATAACAGCAGCGGCAGCACCAGCATCAACGAGGCTATCACAGAGTTGACTATCGCTTACACGGCCTGACATAGTTCCGATCCTCGATGAAGTTAACGAGAGATATGATACGGTCTTTGCGGACCTTGACCCTGTGCGTTGGCAGCCACCTTATATGCGATGCATGCACAAGGGAGCAAAGAGGCACATTGCAATGTCTGCTCGATGGGCGTATCGCTCAAGCTGATCTTTCTCATGGTAAACTTGTCGTATGCCAGGAATGCTTTGATTGTATTACTCGGGAGGAGAAGGAACGTACGGATATATGCGTGGGCATGGATGGCGAGAGGCAGTGAGTGGGTTCCTTTTGATAGAGCCCCACTGTCGAGAGCAGACAATGTACAAATCCTTATATTATCGTTGCTCAAATCAAGACTCTCTTCTCTGCGCGGTCAATTGAGCCGAAGGTAAACCACATTTGGTGGGTTCAGTCCATACGTTGTCTGACATCGCAATGAAGAGAGTTTCTCTTCAGCGTTGAGCGAATACAGCCCTGAAGACCCAGAAAGGAGAAAGATTTGCTGAGAATTACGTGTGAAATGCATCTCAAGCATCCCAGGTTAAAACCTCCCCCTCCTCCTCTCCACCGCACCATGAGCCGAAAGATCCCTGCAATATTATCGAGCGATTTGGAAAGAATCAGAGTGAAAAGCAGCCGTCCTTGGCGCGCCGTCTCGTCGTCGCTTGGCAGCCGGAAGTCTTGGTTGAATGATGTTGGCTAAGGTGACTGATCGTCGTATCGGATATTGTGCTCTATGCAGCTCACTATCTGCGGGCTGGGGTCCGGTCTGAGACCCCGAAGGGCTGATTCCTTCCAAGGTTTATGCAAGGGTCACCAGCGCTGTCACTAGCCAACCCCAAAAGTCCGTGCCTCGGGTACGGATGGTCGTAGCTCGAACGGGTTGTGGACACCAGGCGGCTCCCTCACGCCCCTGCTGAACTGCACCCTATGGCGTCTTTCGAGCCAGAAGTATCGCGCCGTTTTGTTGCGCTGAGCTTGTGGCCACCCCCGGGGCCCCACTGAGTCCTTTCCCGCCAGGGACACCAGACGGTACAAGCCGCAACGTCCGGGCCTCGATCACAGGGGGCAGACGGACGAGTCAGCGCACTGTCGTCCACTAACCAGATCAGGATGTCGTTCGCGGGCCAATCACATCTGCCGCA